CAATTCCTTATGTTAGGCAAGTACGCCTACTTTATCTAAGAAATTTAATGGTGATTATAATTCTATCTTAGTATATAACTTAATAATATTTTATTTCTAGTCCTATGCTTGCGGAATCCTTAGGGAATTTGCCACCTATTCTATGCGTAAGTTATTTTTTTACAATTTTATTTCTTCTATTAATCATGACTTTAAATAATTAATATGCGAAATAATTATTGCAAGTTGGTGATGAAAAATTTCGAGACGAAACTACTCTAATTAGTTATAAAGCAGCAAGTCCGCGTGAATATCAACTACCTTCATATGCAACTAAAAATTTTGAAAAGTCACCATTTAAGAATCCTACTAAAGTTATACTTGAAGTTTATGATGATATGCCTCATGCCTGGCATGTAAGTAAAAATATTTTCTGAAATATTGTTTCTTGCCGTAAATATATGGTACTTACAAATTTTTTTATTCATAACTTTATAAATGGTCAATTATTCAGGTGTTATCGTTTTCCAAACCTTCTAAAATAGCGTTTGAACGTTGTGGCGATTTTATAAAACGTGTTACTACTATAGAAGATAACAATACTTCCATAATTGATCTTGTTAAAGAAGATGTAGTATCTCCCTCTATTTCTGTTTCCCCATCATTTATTGCAATGAGAGTTAGTACAAATGGTGAGATTCGAGAATTGAATGAGACTGATCGAGATTGTCTAAAATGGGATAAATTGGCATAGTGCCTAAAGAAGTTTAAAAGAACTTACAAAGTGATATTATCTTATCGAGTTATTGGAATGTTCAGATTCTTCACATATTTTATTATTATATATTTAATGGCATAAAGTCTGGAATGTCGTAATAGTTATGTTGATTATTTAATTATGACAAATTTTATCAGTAAAATTAATATTCATAGATATGTTAAGCATTACCCTCAAATTTTCCATTGTAAAATACTGTAAAGTTTGTCACATCTTATCAGTATAATTTACCTAGAGATGAGACAAAAAGAGTGTCACCAATAATCGAAGGTACAGTCACACAATTTTCTAACCTCAAGATATGGGCTATCTGGTCGTTATGATCATTCTGAGCGTGCCCCAAAACATTTTATCGTATTCTGGTTGTATTTATAAGATTTAATAAGTTAAATCGACTTTTGATTCCATAATTCTATGTATGCATTACTATGAAACTTTATTTTGAATTTACATGCAAAAAATACATGTACAATAGTAAACTTCATATTCATCGCTCATGTGTCTTATTAGTTAAGCCTTATAATATTTACATAATATTTTCTTTTTATAGCACATCTTGAATGTGCTAGTTATTATTGAGTAATTAGCTACAATGATCAGCACCATTTAAATTCTATCAGATAGACCTTCATTTACTTATTGTACGGACGTACGTTCATAGAATCTCTCTAAATAAAACTTTTCACTATGTACTTCATCAACTGTCCTGTGCTTTATAGATTTCTATTCTTCTAATAATTGAAATAAAATATGCATAAACAATATTACATGTGATTTAGTAGGAAAGCGTTATTATTACTATTTTGTTTTTTTAATAAGGTATGGCTTAGGTAGATTATGTAAATACTTCTTTTGTTTCAAAAAAATTTTTAAACTATGCAATACATTTAACCATATTCAGTAAGTATGAAAATGTTATCTTTGGTTCTATTTAGTTGGATTTTGATTAATTTATGCTATCGCAGCTACGGACTTGTACTGCTATCAGTAGTTGCGGTGCTTAATCCCAAAAATAAGGTTCTTGCGTTGCGATAGCCATAGAGCCTAATTACAACATGAGTTCCTTGCATTGCTTATGCAGCCACGGAGCCTAATTACCCTTGTCTGCTATTGTAGTTGAGGTTCTTGCACTGTCTGCGGCAGCCATAGAGCCTAATCACAATATGAGGTTCTTGCGCTGCTATCGCATCCATGGAGCCTAATCACAACGTGAGATCCTTGCACTGATATCATAGTTACGGTGCTTAATCACCAAACATGAGGCCTGCAGCTGCCATAGAGTCTAATCACAACATGGGCTCTTGCATTGCTCTAGCAGCCACAGAGCCTAATCACGTCATAAAGTACTTGTACTGTTTTTGTAGTTGCGGAGCTTAATCACTAAACATGAAGTTCTTCGCTGCCCTTGGCAGCCATAAAGCCTAATCACAACATGAGTTCCTTGCGTTGTCACTGCAGCCACGAAGCCTAATCACAACGTACTGAAATTATAGTTGTGGACCCTATAGAAAAAAGTCAAAATTCTATTCAGATTTTGTTCGGATTATTATTTTAATAAAATGAGCATTTTTCGTAATAAACCCGAACAAAATCTGAAAAAATTTTGACTTTTTTTTTATGGGGGATTCAATCAACAAACATGAGGTTTGCATTGCCAGGGCAGACATATATCCTAATCACAACATGAGGTTCTTGCATTGTTATTGCAGCCATAAAGTCTAATAATAATATGAGGTCCTTGTACTGCATAATATAATCAGTGTTTAAAATTACCTTGAACAAGATGCACATTGTGAAGGGCCGGCAGGTTACGATTTTTTTTTTTTTTTGAATTATAAATCTATTTAATTTTTATTATTTATTTTTATATATCGTAGTTAAGAATAACAGTAAAACATTGTAGATGCAAATTCGTATCTAAGTCTAAGCAAATACGAATTCGTATCCAAGTCTAAGCGGATACAAGTCTGTATCCAAAATCAAAGCGGATACAAATTTGTATCCAAAAAGTCCTCTATATACTTGTAATTTAGCTGGATCGTAGCTAAAGAAATAGAATAATATAAATTAGAATACTCAACTACAATGTACACAGTAAATTTAAAGACCTATCTTTTGGCCTGAATAAAGTCAACTCGTATGAGTTCTTAACTTCGAAGTCTTTATAGTAGAAGTTCTGAAGTTGTTCTCCAAAATAACTACTTCCCTTAAATACAAAAGAAATCGTTCATAATAAAAATCGGTTTGTCGTTAATTCTTGTCCCCGTGATATTCGTAAATCAAAAAGTAAAAGGAAAAGAGTATTGATTAATAATCAGACTCATTCTTATATACACAATCAAATAAACTCCAAATAAATTTCGTCATTAATACCATTGTCCCCTTATTAAGTCAAATAATCACAATTCAATTTCGCTAACCACGTGACCACGTGACAATCGTTAAGGAAGTTAACGATTGAGTTGAAGGCTAAAGCCCAGAATACCTAGAGTTGAGAAGAAGTGTTACTTTGATATTACTATCAAAGTTAACAGCAACTAGCAACAACAAAAGTTAAGATTGTACTTAGCTTAGACTTCTACATTGCCGCAGCAAGACTCCAAAAGACCTTGAGACTCGGACCAAGTCTCTCCACCCTCCCCACTGTGCTTAAGCTTCAAAAGGAACGTTAAATGAAATTTCAATTTCAAACAGCCTTAAATAAGGGGCTTGAGAAAAAAATGAAGTGCAAAAGAAATTATAAAATTTTATTGCGCAAAAATTTAGTCAAAATACAGAATGGTCCGAAAAGCTCCGAAAGGAAAATGAATGGACACAAAATACGAGAATTTTGAGAAATATCCGAAATATTCCGAAAAAATAACCTTAAAATACAAGATATTTGATATAGTAATTTATAGCGTTGGCATCATAAAATATGTGCATATAAAATTAAATTTTATATGCACATATGTGCAACTAGTAAGTTGGTTTGTGCAATTAAAGCCTATGACACAGCTGCATTTGTGATGTAAGATTCGCTCTGAATTTTAAACACTGAATACAATTTCAAATTTATTACACTTATCGCTAACTCCCTTTAAGCAACTTAAGCACCTAGTTATCTTTCTAAATATCCCAACTTCTGAACTTTTCGTTACAATCTTTGACGATCATTTATTATCATTTCATCAGCCCGGTAAAAATTCTATGAAAGAAAGATAAAATTATTGAATATTAAGAAAGCAGGTTAACAAACCCAGAGAAGAAAACTCAAATAAGTCTGAGAGGTAAAATAGTGCAAGAAATTCGGTTTTGTCTCTTTAAAAAATTTCTTATGGGTGCTCCTGCTTACGCTCCTCCTGAAGAATGATCGTTCGGTCAATCGATCGAGAATGTCGTATAATTTCTTATATTAAACCTAGAATAGATAAACCGCAAATCATCCCAAATTAGATCTACTACTACTATAAAACGAGACTAACGCTAAACCAAAATAAGATCAAAAATCGTATTATATACAAAATATGTGCAAATGTTTTAATTGCGTATCAATAATGTACTGTAACAAGCTCGGTGCTTAAAATTTTCTAAATTAAGCGACATAGACGTACGTACATACACATATATATTTTAACCTACTGTTGCTTTGAAATCATTATCACAAATATTTTTAAAACTTTTCGAATAATAGTCCTGATAATAATGAACCAAATAGTTGCATCAGAATATTTTGATACAATTTTCAAATTCCTTTCGAATAATAAAGATTTGCATTCTTGCCTTTTGGTTAATAAACATTGGGCCACTTGTGCCGTTCCAATTTTATGGGAGGCACCCTTCAGAATTAAAGACAAAAAAATCCCATCTTCCAAAGTGATCCAAGTCTATCTTGCATTTATACCAGATAATACTTTTCTCAAATTAGGATATGAAAAAAGAATTGGGTTGATGATTAGTAAACCTCTTTTTTTTAACTATCCATCATTTCTTAAAGAGCTCTCATATGACCAATTCCTTAATGCTGCTATAGCAAACAAATGCTGTAAAGATATTATAATTGAATTATTTAAAATTCTTGCTATGAACAGTGTGAGATTACGCCGATTTGATATATATAACTATCTTAATTGTTATTCTGAAAACTTAAATAATATAGGATCCTTGATTCTTCCTCATTTTTCTGAAAGCATTTCTATATTTGGTAGGTTGACTTATTTTAATTGTTGCTATCAATGGCCAATGCAAAAAAACACAACTTTTTAATGCAATAGCAAGAGACTGTCATAATATAAAAAACCTTAAAGTCAGTATTTGTTATGAAGATGAAAAAATA